ACAAAACCCATCTCTAGTTGAGATATTTTTAAATTTATTTTATTAATATAATCAAAAGATTAAATATTTTTTTAGTTACGAATCTTAATAGCAAAATGATTAAGTTCATACCACAGAAGCTCGAAATATTTACATAGAATTCTTAAATAATGTAACATAGTTTTATAGCTATATTGCCTAGATATCATTTAGAATTGAATTTACTTTACTAGTGCAAAAGTTAGAATGGTTTAAACGTAAATTTATATATAATATATATAATAATGATACAGTATCATTACTTTAATTTATATTTAAAATGTTTTAACTCTCATACTAATAAAGAAAATTCAATTCTGTAAATTATAAATAATACTTAGGCAATGTGGCTATAAAACTATATCATGATATTTAAGAATTCTATGTAAATATTTCAGGCTTCTATAGTATAAACTTGTAATCATAATCATTTTACTATTAAAATTCGTAACTAAAAAATATTTGATCTTTTAATCACATTAACAAAATAAATTTAAAAATATCTTAACATAGTTTTAAAACTACATAATTCTAATACTGTATCATTTGCAAGTTATAGAATTGAATTTGCTTTATTAGAACAGGAGTTAGAATGTTTTAAAAATCTTATATAATGTAAATTATATATGCACTGCACTATGATATGATGTGTAATATCTTAAATATATACGAGCATTATTTGAATCATAGCCCAAATTAGTCTTAATTTAGACTAAATTTCAAAATTACACTTTTGTGCATTACTATGCGTAAATATATGTGATTATTAAATAAATTTTTCAAATAATTTTGCTTGCAAAAGTTTATAGTTTGAAGGACAATAAATAATAAGTTTCTTTTTATTTAACAAATAGTATATGATAAAAACAAAAAAAAAATAATTTACTATTTTAATAATGATACTGAATAAAAAAATAAAAAGTAAAAAATAAAAACAACTCTACTATTTTAATAATGATATAGAATAAGTATTTAATAAAATTTAACAGATAAAATTACATCATTTGATGTTTCTAGACAACTGCTACCTTGGGGTTCAAAAAAGAAAAAAAATAATTTAACAGATAAATTTTACAGAGACATGATATAATATAATTATATACTTATTCTAGTTAGAATTGATTATCAAGAGAAATAGAAGAAGGCTGATCTGATTTATCCGAATTAGTTAATATATCTGTTGCTAAGTCTGTCAATTTGTGCTTGCTCCTAGTTCGTATATATCATTTAGTCATCGAAAAAGGTTTAGTTTTAAGTAATTTAATTACTGGCAACTTTTTAGTAGCATTAGTTGGTTTGTAGAGCTCAGCTATCGAAGAAGGTTTAGTTACAGGTAGGTTAATTGGAGATTTTTTATTTTTAGTATTTTGGTTATTGAATTTTGCAGCTATTGTTTCAGCAAAGCTAACAGCTTTATTTGGCTCATCCGAAGTTTCAGTTTCCTAAGGAACTTTAGAAGAACTATCCATATTTACTAACATCTTTTGATGACCAGAAAAAGAAATAGTTTTAACATATACATAATTCTCATCATTATGCAAAATAAATTCACTATTAATATAAAGAATCGAATTTTTTTTATAGCCAGAGTTAAGTGAGTCAGATGGGGTGCAGATGCTAAGTAGTGACATTTTATTTTAGTATCATTTTGATTTCAATTGATATAGTTAGTCATCACAACTGTCATAAATGCATCTTCACCATTAATATTCGGAGGTTCTTGTACCATCGCAATTATACTAATTAAAGCAGGAAATTTCAGAAGATTATTTGGTTCTAGATCAAGATGTACAAGATCACTTAGAATAATCTATACACATCAAATATTTGTGATAAAAAAATATATATATATATATATTTGTTAGCAAAAAAATTTATTATATTTAATTAAATATATACAAAAAGTATATCATGTAAGAGATACATTAGACCTATTAACTATATAAATTAAAACTATACATAAAATTATATAAAAATTAATTATTAAAAATTTTTTAATTTTAGTGATCAAAGTAATGATCGAAATAGTAATTGAGATATTATTTATCACTTTTTATATATTTTAATAGTAAGACAATACTGTAACAGGACATAGCTAGGCTATGGGTGATATATTATTGATTTATAATTAAAGTAGAATAGTCATTAAAAACAAAAACATAACTATAATTATTTGACATATAATAATATATTATATAGTTATTTTATAAATATAAATTTAAATATACTTTTAAGGCAGAAAGCTTTTTACCTTTTTCATTCAGATATTCAACCATATAGAATTTTCTAGTCGCAAGAATCATATCACCTTTTTTAAATGGGAGAAGACCAAATTCTTTTATCATATTCTGAGGATAAAAACCTTTTAAAAAGATTTTTAAAGGTGAATTTAAACTTTAGGATTTTATGAAACCTGAAACATCAACTATATAAATATTTTTTCTGGAACTTAATCGATAGTCAGTTACATAACAAAGTACAGTAATAGTACTCAGTATATTTTTTTTTCATAAATTAATTAAAGCAGAAAGAAATTTTAATAATGCCTATTTATTTTTTTTTATTATTATATAAAAAAATATATACTTCAATATACTGTAGTTATATCTTGTTTTTAAATATAAATAATAAGCCATAGATGGATTTGGCATATTCTAACTTAGGAATCTCAAGACCAATATAATAAAACTAAGTATTTTAAACATCATAATACTGCTGTGCTAGCTGAGCTGTTTTTAAAATAAGCACAAATTAGAGCCTAGTATCTCTATTAAATCCAAGTTATAAATGAATGCTACTAACTCAAAATCTGTAACTGATCATAGTAAATTATTATGATCAGTTACAGGTTTCGAATCTCTTTGGTAATATTAACATAATCAGTCTCAACTAATCAGATTATATTTAAAGCAGAAACAAGTAATAGCAGGTTCTAGAAGATACTATTTAAAGAAAATATATGACATGATATCTAATTATACAGTATCACATAATCTTCATTACAGATTATGCTTTATTATATCATACTACAAAATCACAGGTCTCAATCACGATTTGTTTTTTTTGTCTGAAATAATGAAATTCTTTCATTACAATTTTTTTGTTATAGCCTTTGATGATCACTAATTATCAATTTATCTACTCAGCAAAAAAAAAAGAAAAAAAAACAAAAAAAGTAAAAACTCGAGAAGCACACATAATCATAAATAAAAAACAAACAAAAAAACAACAAACACAACTACAATTTTGTATTTAACTTTTAGCAGATTTGATATTCAGAATCTAGTATCTAGTATCTAGAATCTAGTATTTAGAATCTAGTATCTAGTATCTAGTATATATAAAAATAGCAGGTGAAAGATTTTCCTTTTAT